CTGTCTCGTTATTGATTGTCCCACACACCCTCGGGGGGGGGGGGGGGGAAATCATTACAGAAATATGAAATATTTATTAGTCCGTTAAAGGTGGAAGGAATTAGTATTTGTGCTTTCAAGCCGTATTACAGGGAATGAGCTGTAGGGATGAGGATTTTAAATGTGTTCCTAATATTGGAAGCTTTCTTTGCCTTCACGGCAAAGTAGTCTTATTTAAATATGTCTGCGTGCTCGTTCCCTCTCTTGCCGGCTTGGTCTGAGCGCTCTGCCCGTCTCCCTTCATTATGCAGAAACTTCTTAGACCTACACTAGTGCTGGCTGCAGTTTCTATGCTAATTTAATCCACTTCAGCCTTTTGGTCATTACTATAATTAGAGCGGCTGCATCACTTTGCAAATCTGTCTGCCATTTAAACTAAACACTCTTCTGAGCTTTGCCTTGTTATCCTAGGTTTCTGTTTAGCTATTGTAATTTTTTTTTTAAGGCCATATATGATAAAGGAAGAGTGCCTGGCCTAAACTTTGGTAGTGAAGTAATTAATGCTGCTGCTCAGGCATCTTTAAAAACCTGCTTGGATTCCTGCATCTTATGAGCCTTTCGAAGGAGCAGTTACTGGTTTGTTAATCAGATGTGATGCATCAACAAGCCTTTGTACTGGCCACAGCCTGTTATTAGAGGCTGGCTAATTGTGCAGGCAAGGGGTGAGTGGCTTTCTGAGCTCGGTGTGTCATGTGTTTGGGCAGAGGCTCTTGCTTCCGAAGCTGTGCTCTGAATTCCTTGTAATGCTGCTTTCAAGAGTCCTAACTGTTGAAATGTAACCATGCTTCTTAAAGCAACTTACCAAACAGCAAGAGAAAGAAACTGGAAAGAAGAGTTTATGTACAGTTTAGCACAAGCCCGGAATCGAGCAGCAGAAGAACAAAGTGAAGAGCAGTATCTGCACTTCCAGACACTGACGGAACCACCCTGACCTGACTGTCCTGATCCTCCTGTTTCTCTTCAGAGTTGGCATCCAGTGGGATTTTGCAGGCTGAGTTTAATGCAAAAGATACTAAAATGTGGTTTGGCGCACAGTACGAAATCCCAAGAGACAAAGATCAAAACAGCTGATAGGAGATGACATGCAAGGGTCTATTTTCATAGCCAAGGGAAGATGTCTCCTCACTCAGTTTTACATTATTTATTCTCTACAAACAGAGGATCCTATTCAGATCTCTGAACCACTCAGTCGAGTTAAGTTAGGACTACATTTTGAAAGAAATGGAGTTACTGGCTGGAACTCCTGGTTTTGACTCATTCTTGAGACTAGTGTTGCAATTCTTACATTGGTCGCTTCATTTCTGAATTCTCCTGGAAGTTATGGCTTTAATAAAGGGCACTATGGAACTGCCTCAATTGTTGGCTACTGCCTATGAGGAATTTGATGTGTCTTCAGGATGATTTCTGTACTAACTCTGCTGTAAAGACACTTAAACTGATCACACAAACGGACTGGCCAGCTCAGGGGTCTTTGGCCTGCAACCCCGACACTGAAGAGCTCGTTGTATTTGATGGTGCTCAGGGGTGGACAGCCTGTAGCTGTTAAACTGTGCGTGGCTTCCCAGCAGCTCTCAGCGTGGTTCATGTGGCGGGGAGCGGGGTTGTGGTGCGGTGGGAGGTCTCCGGACAGCTCGCTTTAGGAGCGAGGAGGTGAGCCAGAGGGGTGCTGAGGCAGGATTTGGGGTTGCTGGGTTCCGGCCAAGGCCAGCTCTGCAGGGGCTGCTGGGAGGCCGTTGTCGTCTCCCACCTGTGAACTTCTTTGGAGTTCTTCCATCCCTCAGCTCTGACATCCATCGCGCTCATCTCCTGGTCGCAGGAAGCTTTCGGTGCAGGGCTTCTTGGGTCAGGAACGTTGGCGCCTCGCTGCCCCTTTGGCAGCCTCGGCACGTTTTCTGGCTTTTTCTCCCCTTTTCTGGCTGCAGACCGCGTGCATCGTGCAAGATGCAGCGCTGCTGGCGACGCATTTGTCTCTTTCTGGGGGTGAGGTACCTCTCCTGGTTTTTCTGTAGTTTATATGTTCTGTAGAAAATTGCGTTCTGCTGAACAGCCCCTCTTCAGATGAATTTCATGTGGTGTAATAAAAAAATCAATTTAGTTTCATTTGTTCATGTCTTTAGTAGATTAGCCAGTTTTTGATGGTTTTATAGTTGTTGTTTAAATTACTTCTATCCATTCACAACACAACAGCTATCAGAAGGAGTTGCTTGTTAGGTATAGAAACTTTTTATTTCTTTTTTTGGCAAGTAACTAATATTCAAGTTGCTTCGCAGCTAAATAACAGAAATTGTGCTGAAATGGGCTGTATAGCGTGTTAACTGCTCTGCCACGTTTGGCACCGGACACTGCCTGCCTGTGACAACAGGAGCGCACCTAACTGCACGATGCTGCGTTACACTGGCATCTGTGGGGGTTGTTCCTGGTCGTGATGCTGATTTAAAAGCATACCCTGAAGTGTGAAGACTGGAAGCCCAAGCAAATTTATTTCTGCTCTTGTAACTACAGATGACACTTATGCATGAAGAAGCACGAAGTGCAAACACAAAAGATTTGTCTTGGAAGTGACTGTCCTAGATGTTATGGTCAACACAAGTGTAGTGCGTCTTTAGGGGTTTAACTGAAGAGACTGGTAGTGAGCTAAGCTCCCCGCGGTCCAGCATTGTTTGAAAAGCTTTAATTGGAGGGAAGCTGATAAAGCTGCGTCTTTGACGTGCGGAGCAAATCGGGGTAGGCTTTGACTTGCCTGAGCAGTTGACAGGGCAGTGTTTCAGTTCTCATTATACCTTTAGTCAGCGCTAGCTTTAACTGGGACCGGTGAGGCACTTGCCCAGGGCCGTAGGGAAGGCTGTGAGCTGAGAAGGGGACCGCAGGGGACACTGTAAGCCCCTCTTCTGCGGGTGGGAGGAGGAGGAGGAGGAAGCTTGGCTTGCTGCAGCAGGCCCTTGCAAGTCCAGCGCCAGTGCTGCTTGTGGAGGCGGGGGGGTTGCAGAGTGTATCCTCAGGTTGCTTTCTCCTTCCACCCAGCCTGGTGTCTGAGGGTCCAGCAGGGTCTCCCCAGGAGTTGTCTTCTGTGGGTTGGCTCAGCATGATGCACTGCTTCTGATCAAGCTTGCCATTGTCTTGTTCCTGCTCGCTTTGAATGGGGCTGTCTGGCTGTCAACGTCCTACTGTTGACCAGTCAAATAGCTAAAGGGGAGCACTGCACAGATTTTATGGGTAAAATCAGAATAAAGCTTACACTGGAGTGCAGAATAAAACTTTTTATTGGCAGAAGTAACGCAGCCTGTGTTGAATGGCACTAAAGCATTGGCACAGGGCGTTCTTACGACCAATTTCATGTCTGACACAAAGGTAGGCTGCTCCTTGAGAATAGTTCTCCTGCGGTTGTTTACCAATAGACTAAAATTCCTGCCCAGAGAAAACTGACTGGCTGCATAGTGTTAACTGAAAGGGTACTTGTTTATATTCCTAGTCAGTGACCAGTAAGTATGTTCATGGTCTAACTTTGGACTAATGAATTCAAGAACATAAGACCTGTCAAAGAGCATGCGTAGGTAGTCTCAGGTGAAGCAGCTGGGACTATATGGTTTGAAGTGTCTTTTAAAATCCATGTTACTTAGAAAACATTAATTTCATTCCATAGTAAGGACATAGGCTTTTTAAATATAACTTTTTTCCTTTTCTCTTCCTGCAGGGAAATTCAGCTCCTACGACGATTACGGCACAAAAATGTTATCCAGTTGGTAGATGTATTATACAATGAAGAGAAGCAGAAAATATATCCTTTTTTCACACAGCTGTTAATAAGGTTTGAATTCCCATTGTTCTCTGTTATAGTGCTGAATCATTACAGGTCTGCATTTGTTAAGGCCCTTTTGAATGTTTCTTAAGCTTAAAATTGCTTTCACTGGTATTAAACATGCTGCACATCTGGAATACTTTCCATGCAAGTACGTTTTCTTAAGTTTCCCAGCTTCCCAGGTAGGAAACAAAATATTGTCCCCAGGTTACAGATGCAGGGCTGGGGTAGGGGAGAACTGACCCTGCATTTTGCAATACTGCATTTTGTATGACCTTCAACTCAGAGATGAAAAAAGAGCTGTTGGTCTGTCATTTCTAACCTCCTGTCCTAGCTGCGGTATATGTTAGTGCTTTTTTTTTCCCCTGAAGATGGACCTTTTATTGCCTATGCTATGTGAAATCAATTTTTGCAATGCTTTTTCCTTTAAGTCCTTGGCAGTGGTTTAGGTATCTTTCTTCCTTTTCCTCAAAAGAAGAAAAAAAATCTACTCGTTCACTGGCATCCGGATGCCTGCAACTCTCTCCTTCCCTTTGGAGGGTCTGTGCTGCTGCAGTGCTGCCTTTTCTGCGGGCAGATGGTATGCTTTGCTGCTGGTTATCCTTGACAAGATAAGATGAACTCCCAAGCCTGCCCAAGCCTCCTCTGTTTTGTTGTTTGTGTGAAAGTCCCTTGTGATAGTGCTTTGAGTGACCTAAAGCTTGTAACGGTCACGAGAGATTGAAAGCATATTGTTCCTGTGAGATCTACAGCCCAGCTTTTTGAGACTAAACTGTTCAGTTCTTGAATCAAAGCTGTGGCTTGTGATCTCGGTGCATCTTTCAGACTTTAACATGTTATTCCAGTGCACTGTGTCCCCCGCATGCACATAGACACTAACCAATGTCATTACATGCCTTAACTTGCAAAGTGAGCAGCTGGATTTCTAATGAGTCTGCCATGCTTAGAGTACACTTTGCCTTGAACCAGTTTGTAAGCTTATTGAGCTGATCTGTTGTAGTACGTGTTATAAATGGTTGCTTTTATTTTTTAGTGTTTTCTAAATACTGTCTTCCAATTACAGTACTTCATAAAATGCGTCATTTAATTGTGTGCTTTAATTAGATCAAATACTCTGCCACCAAATCATTAGTATAAAAAAAAAAAAGCACAACAACTTTTTCTTGTGTTTTGTAGCCTTAACAGACTGGAGGGACTGTAATTCAATTACTGTTTATAGAAAGATACCAATTAATTAATAAGAAGCTGGGATGCTAAAGGAGAAGCATGGGGAAAAAGAGCCCGAGAGAGACCTCATGTGTTGGTAACAGGTGATGACAACTCAAAATGGTCATTCAGAAATGTGACCTCTCTAAGCCAGGAGGGCTGTTCCTTGCTTTACTTTCTGAACAATAGCATTTGAAAAAGACCAAATTGTTTTTCAATACTTTTCCCTTGCAAGTATAGATTAACTTCACTATTTTTATCTTTATCTGCTTCTACACTCTTAGAAAGTTTGTCTCTCAACCTGCTTATTCTGTGCGTGCGAGTGGCAGTACCTGGAGAAGTGCGCTGTTTTCACTGGGGCTGGGAGCGGGAATTCATGCGTGATCATGTTCTTGCTTAACCTTTCTCCGGCTTCTCATTGGCACTGCTGGTGCCCGTGCAGCACGTCCGAGGATGTGGCAGTACGAACACTTGTGCAGCTGCATGGTAAACAGGTTTGGGAACAGATCCAGCTGAAAAGTAACTTTCTCTTTTAGGCTGGCTTCTCTGTAGGTCAGTTCCCTTACTCATTTCATGGTGTAGTCATGCAAATGCCTGTATTAGTACCTTGCAGGGAGCGATATAAGGTGAAAGTTGAGTGGGGCATAGGGGAGGGGTGTCAACTTCCCCCTTACTAATGAAAAAAAAAAAAGTCCTCATTTCCAGAATGACCATTGTGGCATTTGAAATTGGGCCTGTGGAAGAAGGAAGGATTCTGTTCTCAGTTTTCTGTTGCTGATAGAAGTGAACTGCAGGCTTCAGCCACGTTCATACTTGGGAAGATAGTGTTTTAACAACTTACCTGCCTAGTCAAAGCCTTCTGTGATTTTCTTTGGTAAAGGGAAAGCTGTGATGACTCGTTTAAAAATATCAACTATATTTAGTATTAAATGGGCTGCTTTGACCAGCTGTGGCTGGGAGTGCAGAGCTAGTGATGAATGGAGAGCTAATCCAGGCAGAAAATAAACCCAGTTCAATAAGTAGCATCCCAGCTGGCACCTTCTCTGGACAGCTTCTGTTACCAGTATGTGCAGTTGTGCATGGGAGCAGAATGCTATTGATTAGAAGAATCAAGAGCCTCGGTCTTGTTGGGGCACCGGTAATAGATCTGCTCCAGCCTGAAAGTTTGTACTCTAATCTGGCTGATCAACCAGAGATGGATCAGTTGCAAAAGAAGGGGTGAAAAACAGGCTGGCAGCAAATGGAACCAAAATCAGGCTGTCCTTTGTAGATGAGAATGAGACCTGGGTCTTGCTTCCCAGGAGCTACTCTATATAATCTACTGTTAGTATTATTCTCTTGAAGGTGGGAGAGTTGATGTCTTCCACATCACTGTGATATAAGTAGTTCACAGATTTCTTCCAGAGTAAGAAACGGTAGGAATTAATTTTGGGAGCTCTTTCTGCTATTCTTGCTTCTACTGATATACTGGGTGGCATTGTGCCCATCATAAAATCTTACAGTGCTTTAGTGTTCTCCTGAAGAGCAGCTCATATGGGGAATGTAGCACAAAACTAATGAGTTTGGACAGTTTTTGAGCACCTCGACAGAATGTGCTACAAAAGGGCAACACAATTTTTAGCACAGATCCCACTTAAAGCGCAGGTCATCTCTTTAGCCTCTCCTGCCTCAAGAGTTAAGATGGCATCCTGGGACATAAGCAACTTATTTTAGGCTTAGGTTAAGAAGGCATCTGCCAGGAATAATTAGAGTGACCAAAGAAATGCTTTGTGTTACTGGGGAGCATGGGCTGCCTGACGGTCATGCTTTTCTTTGCTCTTTATCTTGAAGGTGCACTCCCTTGGCAAAGCCACCAGATGTCTCAGGGTCTGTTCTTGCAAGCCCCTCTCTGCACACAGTCTGCCTTTTAAAAGCCCAGGGAGAGGAGGAAACCAGGCAATTATTGCTTTAGGCAGTTGTGTAGTTTCCGTTGTTTGGCCCCAGCGTTAAAGCCTAAGGAGATGAAAACTAGAATATGCTGCAAGGGAACAAATGCTAAAAAGTGCCGCCAGTTCTTGGCATTCCGTTGTAACTTTTTTTATCCATGCAGTTCCAAAAAAGCTTCCCAGCTCTCTAGGGAGGGATCCTTTCTCCTGCTACTGAAATACTACCACGGGGATGGGGGTAAGCAGCAGCTGTTAAATAAGTGCATACAGCCTTATAATTTTGAAACAGGAGATCAAGAATAACAAACTTTGGGAATGGTGATGGGAGCTCACTGTTACATCAAGTGTGGAACAGCCAGGGTACTGGGAGAATATGCTACAGCCTACAGCTCTTCTGCCAGGGGTTCCCTAACTTTTTGTTGCCACTTCAGAGGATTATCCTGTTTCTGTCATGCTTGTGAGATCTCCAACTTAATTTCTGTGGAGTTCACATCCTGTTTCAGGTCTGATCAGGGAGTTGCAGCTCCCTGCAGGGAGTTAAGCAGAAGAATTTTCTCCTGGGTTTGTTGCCTGCTCCTGCTAGACAGTTGGAGGAAGGTAGCTACCTCCGGAGGTGCAGCACAGCTCAGGCTCTACCTCTCCGGTGTGTGCGTACCAGGTAGCAGGGCAGCCTGTGCAGCAGCTCTCCAGTTGCACTAGAACGGGGCTGCCGTCCGCACGCAGCGTTTGCCTGAGAAGCGTTTAACCTTGAAGCTTCCTTAACTCTGCCTTCACGTATATGGTGATGGAGTACTGTGTGTGTGGGATGCAGGAGATGCTGGACAGTGTCCCAGAAAAGAGGTTTCCAGTTTTTCAGGCTCACGGGTAAGTACGGTTTTCTTCCTTAGGCTGCATTAGCCTCTCACCACTGCACTCTCTTGAATTCAAGAGCACGTTCTACTCTGTTGCTTAGACTGCTGGCTGCACTGTAAAGTAAAACTGGCTTTGTGTAATAACTGCATCTTTTACATCCATGGAAAAAATGAAAAGCTAATTAAGTGGTTGCAGGGATAACCCTTAGATTCTGGGAAGAAAAACCATCTTTCTATTGAATTTTCTGTTACTTTTGTTTTCCTTCACGAGGTGCAGACAAGGGTTCCTGGCCCCTTCCTGGCCCCTTTCCTACAGCTCTGCTGTTCAGCAAAGATGGGTGCAGTGGAGGAATCCGTGAGGACTTGTCCTGCCTAAATGGAGGCAAGCCATACAGTTCAGTGTCAGAAAAGAGATTAAAGGTCTTTGGATGGATTAAGGATTGGCAATATCCAGCATGATCTGTTAGCTTGTTTAGTTTGTAGACAGGATAATCTGAACTGCCTTTCGCTCTGCAAGTAAAGGAACCTTAGGATTCTGGAAATAGATGCAAGAAGATTGTCATCTATATCAAATCGGTGCAGACCAGCAGATCTGTGGTAACTACATATTTTGATGGTCATTTTTTCATTTTGTTTAAAAAAGGTGTCTGAGATTACAGATAGCCTTAGTGAAATACAGGCACATTAAGCCAAGTGTTATTTCTGGATATTATGAGATAAGACATGCATGCACAATTGTTGCCAGGCTGTCAACGTGCAATGCTCGCTACATTACAGTAATGGCCTGCCCATAGTCTCTGACCATATCCGTGTTACCCTTGCTCAGCCAGTAAGCTGCACCAGCAAAACATTCCTTCCTACTGGCGAAAGGAAACTTTTTTCCCCCATCCCCTGTTAGAGAAAGCTATGCCACTGAAAGAGCATCTTTTGCTGGCTTAACTTAGTCTAGACTAAAGCGGATGTGAGAATTAACTATCGGGTCTGTGCCAGCGTGGTGCTCAGCGCTTACAAAATGTGCAGACTTGTGAAGAGGGCTTTGGTGTGGAGGAGCCCAGAGCCTGAAGTGGTTAGCACAGCACATTGCTGCAGAGCTCTGGCAGGTAACTTCTGACTTTGTCAGAAGATTAAGTGCCATTTCTTATACACCACAGTTCAGTTTCAAGTTCCTAAGCATCAAATCTAAACGTGTTTCCGACTTGTTTCCAAGAACAGCACTTTTTGCTTTAAGTATTATCAGTAGTTCACATAGTCTGCGGAATTGCTTGACTTTTTTCCTCTAACTCTTCCTGCAGGTACTTTTGTCAGCTTATAGACGGCTTAGAATACTTGCACAGCCAAGGGATTGTTCACAAGGATATAAAACCGGGGAACCTCCTGCTAACAACCAATGGGACACTAAAAATATCTGATTTAGGCGTAGCAGAGGTATGTGAGAACTGCGGCAAAGTCAGGAATGTGGGAAGCGTGACATTCTAGATTTAGGTCACCTTTGTGGTGTCAGTTGATTTATTGTGGGTTTAGGCTTTTGTTCTGTTAAACTTGCAGAGTGCTCTAGAGTGACTTCAAATATTTATTATAATTGGCGAAACACTTTTGTTGATAACAGCACGAAACTTCCGTCTGGGAAGCATATAGAGGAAGACATCAGTCTTAGGCAAACCCAAAAGTGTGGTGAAATGGCGATAAGCTACGTGACCTTATCCTTCTTATTATAGAAGACTGTCTTAGCTAGGTAGGAGTGGTGCAAGAATTGTCACTGATGGCATGTAGTTATTGTAGTGGCATGTGCTTATGATATGTAAGTAGATTCTCAGTAGCAGTTTCCCCTTTTTTCCCTAGGTGAAACTTTTCTAAGAGTTACAATTTGCCTTGAAAGCTTGAAACTAATTGGTCTCTTCTGCTTCAGGCATTGCATCCGTTTGCAGAGGATGACACGTGCAGAACGAGCCAAGGGTCGCCAGCATTCCAGCCACCAGAAATTGCCAATGGCCTTGACACCTTTTCAGGCTTTAAAGTAGACATCTGGTCTGCAGGGGTCACACTGTAAGTGCGCATGCAGCATCCAGGAACTGCAATAAAAAATTAAAAGCCCCAACATAGCTCAGTCTTGGGCTATCTGCTGTCGTTGCTGCTCTTCTGTATGTTGTTGGGGGCAGCAGGGAGGGTGTATGGGTGTTGGTCCCTCTTTTGGATGGGTGTATGTTCCCTGAAGCTCTTGTAATTCTGAAGAAAGTAATCTTTACTCTCAGTGAGTAACTCTGCCAGCCACTTCTCAGCACCTGAGATGCACAGCTACTGTAATAATAGAAACCACAAATATCTGTATTTATTTTTAAGTTTCTTCCAGCCCAGCCTGTCAGGGAGATGTCTTGGTTTTGACTCATGTGAATGAAGAGGCTGTGATAAAGGAAGGCTAAGTTTAAAGAGGCATTGCAAATACTGTCAAATATTCATCTTTTAGTTTCCTTTTGGCGTCTTTGGTTTACGTAGTCACGTAAGAACGGAACACCTGTTCTGTGTGCTTTTTCTCATACAGCTTCTCCTTCTGCCTTTACAGATACAACATTACAACGGGTCTATACCCCTTTGAAGGGGATAATATCTATAAATTATTTGAAAACATCGGGAAAGGTGACTACACAATTCCAGAGGATTGTGGTCCTCCACTCTCAGACTTATTGAGAGGTGAGTCTCCCAAGTAACTGTAGAAGGATGGGTAAAATCTATAGGTGGAACAAATGCTCAGCTTGCATAGTGCCAGGGGAGGGCCTCATTCCAAGTATCCTTTGAAGATATAGGATCCTGTCAGAAAGGGAGGTTATGGTTATGAACCTTGTAAGACTTTGAAAGATCTTGAACACTGGCATTTTCCTGAGATACACTAAACCCTGCATGGGTTGCAGTCACTGCTGTATAAAGAGTTGGTTCTTGCATTGTGTTTCTTGTGCTCTGAGAAGCTTTTAAACCTAAAGACAAAGCCTGCAAGAGGTTAAATTTAAAATGGCATCATAGCATTGGTGCAGGTTTTGCAAGTGAGAACACTCAGTTAAGTTCCTTGCCCAAGCTTTCTATAACGCGCAATACTCAGGCTCTGCTGTCCTTCCTCATCAGCTTCTGCTCGGAATTCATTTGCTTCAATCCCAGTTGTCCCCATCTGTGTGTGTCCGTCCGTCCCCCCGTCCCCCAATTTAGATTTGCAAGGATATTGGAGCAAAGTGACTGGTGTCCACTTTCACAACAGGGCTGTGGTAGAAACAGGAGTAGCACTTTCTGAGTAGGAGAGGGTTGTGGGTTTTGTTTGGTTGGTTTTTTTCTTTTTGTTCCTGTCACTTACTGCAATAGGTTGAGGTTTAGTGCTGGAACAGCCTCTACTTTTGAAAGCTGGATAGTCAGGGCAGCAGTTACGCTGTGCGTCACAGCCCATTTGGTGATGCCCATCTGGCAGCAGATAGGATGTGATTCTAGCATGTGGGAGATCCTGCCCAGAGTTCCCGCTGCCTCCCTGGCAGCGAAGCAGCCAGGTGTGGTAGTGCTCCCCAGCTCTCAGCACGGGCTTGCCCCCTCTTCTTTGTCTTCAGCTGTTCGTGAAAGATCAGACCCCAAATACGAAATGATGCAGTCCTATTTTATTTGTCGGGTTCTTGTGCTACACAGGGCTAGGAGGTTAGTGTGGGTGAAGAGCTGTGGGGCACCGTGAGCAAACTGAGTCAGCTTCCCTTCCTCCTGTCAGCAGTGTCGTCAGGCCTGCTCGTAATACGGGTGTTATCACTAAACCGGGGGGTTGTGTACTGTGCTGTGTCCTCTACGCGGTCACAGCGCTGTTGCAGTTTGCGGCTAGCCAAAAGGTTAACAATTTCGAAGCATTTTACAGCTGTGCTTTGTGCTACAAACAGCAGCAGTTGTGCCTCTGCAGGAAAGGCTGTGCTGCCCGTGGGCTCCCGGCTGCTGTGAGGAGCTGCAGCTCCGGCCTGGGCTGGCTTTCTTGCCCCGTAGGGCATCCGTGGCCCGGTGCGGTGCTGGGGACGCGGGTGTCCTCGCTCGGTGCCGGCTGCGTGCCGGGCGGCGGCGGCAGGT